AATTGCTATTTACCCTTCATAAGGACCCTTTTCATCGAATCCGATCCGACTAAAGTGGGAGAGACTGGCACCCGCTAGCCACCTTATGCAACAAGTGCATGTCAGTCGGTGGAACCTGTCTCAAGTAAGTGTATGTGTAAGGTCGGTCCGGGCCGCTTCATCCCACAATACCATCGAAACAAGATAGGACTAGTAACGGTAAGCATATTGAACAAAATTAACACCCACAACAACTTGTGTTCTACTCGTGCATAGAATCTACACAATAGACCTAGCTCTGATACCACTATTGGAGATCGTTGTAGAAATTAAAAAAATTCTACGCATCACCAAGATCAATCTATGGAGAGACTAGCAACGAGAGAGAGGGGGTGCATCTTCATACTCTTGAAGATAGTGATGCGGAAGCGTTACAAGAACGTGGATGAAGGAGTCGTACTCGTAGCGATTCAGATCGCGGTTGATCCCGATCTAAGCGCCGAACAACGGCGCCTCCGCGTTCAACACACGTACAACCCGGGGACGTCTCCTCCTTATTGATCCAGCAAGGGGAGAGGAGAAGTTGATGGAGAGCTCCGGCAGCACGACGGCATGGTGGTGGAGCTTGCAGTTCTCCGGCAGGGCTTCGCCAAGCACTACGGAGGAGGAGGAGGTGTTGGGGAGGGAGAGGGCTGCACCAGGGGAAGGGGTGAAGCTCCCATGCGCCTCCCCACTATATATAGGGGTGGAGGGGGCTGGTTGATTTCCCTCCAAGTCCATTGGGGCGTTGGCAAAGGTGGAAGGAAAGAAATCCCATCATTTCCTTCCCCACCGATTGTTATCCCCCCTTTTTAGGGATCTTGATCTTATCCCTTCGGGATATGATCTTATTCCTTCTAAGGGGGGATCTTGGTGCGCCTTGACCAGGGGTGTGGGGCCTTGCCCCCACTATCCACGTTCATGTGGGTCCCCCCATGCAGGTGGGCCCCACTTCGGAACCTTCTAGAACCTTCCCGGTACAATACCGAAAAATCCCGAACATTTTCCGGTGGCCAAAATAGGACTTCCCATATATAAATCTTTACCTCCGGACCATTCTGGAACTCCTCGTGATGTCTGGGATCTCATCCGGGACTCCGAACAACATCCGGTAACTGCACACTAATTCCCATAACAACTCTAGCGTCACCGAACCTTAAGTGTGTAGACCCTACGGGTTCGGGAATCATGGAGACATGACCGAGACAGCTCTCTGGCCAATAACCAACAGCGGGATCTGGATACCCATGTTGGCTCCCACATGTTCCACGATGATCTCATCGGATGAACCACGATGTCAAGGATTCAAGCAATCCCGTATATAATTCCCTTTGTCAATCGGTATGTTACTTGCCCGAGATTCGATCGTCGGTATCCCAATACCTCGTTCAATCTCGTTACCGGCAAGTCACTTTACTCGTTCTGTAATGCATGATCCCGTGACTAACTACTTAGTCACATTGAGCTCATTATGATGATGCATTACCGAGTGGGCCCAGAGATACCTCTCCGTCACACGGAGTGACAAATCCCAGTCTCGATTCGTGCCAACCCAACAGACACTTTCGGAGATACCCGTAGTGCACCTTTATAGCCACGCAGTTACGTTGTGACGTTTGGCACACCCAAAGCATTCCTACGGTATCCGGGAGTTGCACAATCTCATGGTCTAAGGAAATGATACTTGACATTAGAAAAGCTTTTAGCAAACGAACTACACGATCTTGTGATATGCTTAGGATTGGGTCTTGTCCATCACATCATTCTCCTAATGATGTGATCCCGTTATCAATGACATCCAATGTCCATGGTCAGGAAACCATAACCATCTATTGATCAACGAGCTAGTCAACTAGAGGCTCACTAGGGACATGTTGTGGTCTATGTATTCACACATGTATTATGGTTTCCAGTTAATACAATTATAGCATGAACAATAGACAATTATCATGAACAAGGAAATACAATAGTAACCATTTTATTATTGCCTCTAGGGCATATTTCCAACAAAAAGAACATTCTTCATAAATTGCGGCTGCCGGGCCTAGCAAATTACCACCCTCTTGCATGACTTCGACAACCTCCATGCAATCGGACTCGACGCAAATTTTATTGCACCCAACTTCATTTGCGAGTAAGAGCCCATCTCGCATACCTCTAGCTTCTACCGTAGTCGTGTCTTCCATAAAAGGGATATTATTGCATGAAGCTGCGACGAAAAACCCAGCTTCCTCTCGTAAGATTGCACCCGTACCCCCTGTTCCCCTATCAGGATCAAAAGTGGCAACAACATTAAGTTTGAGAACTCCCTCCGGTGGCTTACTCCATCCATATCTTCTCAGTTTCGCTTGCTTCAACTTTGCCTTGGAAAAATTCTTAGCAAGAGCTAAAATTGTTTGCGCTGTCCTGCTTGGTTCATACATATATTCACCATGAGTATAGTAGCGTCTTGCCGAAAAAGGGTTTCCCCCCACTTTGTATTACGAAGCAACAACATTGATACAACCAACGATAGGTACTGGGGCGGAAGTAGCACAAGCACGCCCAAAAGAAATGAAAGAGAAAATACAAAAGGAAAAAAATGCCGACAATGGCGGATCAACGAAAACGAAGATGACTCGCAACCGCTGCGCCCGTCGAAGGATTCCACCACGCTCCTAGCACCACGAAACGCCGCATACCAAGCAACACCTTCAAGAAGGAACACGACGACAACGATGTTGCTACTAGACATAGCCTAGGGTTTCCCCCGGTACACGAAGGGTCGTGGGAGGGAAGGGGTATATCCGACGCCCTTCAGGAAGGCACGGCGGCGCCCACGGGCGTCACCGCGTCGGTGTCGGACAAGCCGACAAGGATTTCTCCCAACCGCCAACCAACCATGACCCCAGACGATATATCACGCTCCACCATACTTGCCGTCCACCAATATGCGCTACCACGGACTCGCAGTCATCATCGCCGTCTCACCGTGACAAGTGAAGTGAGACCGGCGGGATTGAGAGGAACCAGCCAAAAACGAGGAGCAGCAGGGTCAGCGGCCACGTGGGAGGGGACAACCTCCAACACCCTCGGTGGTGACCGACCGGACGTAGCTCAGGAGCAAACCAGGCACCCCTTCCCGGCAGAGCCCGAAGCGGGCTCGTGAAGCTCCCATCGTTGCGCTGCAGTACACGCGTCGCTGTCTCCGCCACCCCCAGCCCAAGCCACACCTCCATCCGCCAGAGAAGACGCGGGAAAGCACACGCCAGGCCCACCCAGACCCAGATGGGGCCCAAAAGGGCCCAGATCTGGGCCGGAAGGGCACCGCCGCCAGCCATCACGCCGCCCCGCAGCCAAGCAGCGGCGCCACCGCCACCTCGCCACCTGGAGCTGCGCCGCCCGCGAAGACGAACCGCTGCCCAATCCGACGCCGGCCCTGGTGCACCGCCGCCGACGCCATCGCCCGAGCCACAGCGCCGCACGGGTAGGAAAAGAACGGGGCCGCCGCCGGCGGCACGACGCAAGCCAGGCATGGTGGCCTACGCCGGCGGCGGCGGGAGGGGATTAGAGGGGGGCCGCTGGGAGGAGGAGGGAAGGGGAGCCCCAGGTCACCTCGCTCGGGGAGGCGACGCGGGGGGTACAGGGGAGGAGGGGAGGGGGAGGGGGAGCTGGGCGCGCCCGCCGGTGGCCGGCGGCGGCGGGGGAAACCCTAGCAGGAGCGGGACGTTCTTTCGTCCCGTAGCAGCATCTTTTCTACAAAACGTACCACACTATAGTGGTCACAAGGTTATTGCGTTGAACATCAGTCATATGAGCCATGGTATTGTTCGTTGGTAGAAGAAGATCAGCCAGCACCAATCCACCATCCCTCTCCAGCGCACACACCTCCTGAACCACATCTTGCAGTCACAATATCCTCTAGATTTTCTTGAACTCTAGGACACAAGAACATGGCATGTCTAATACTCTCACAATCCGAAGTGCACAGAGGGCATTGAGAGCTTGTGATCATATGCCTGTTAGCAAGGACTCCATTACAAGGGATGGCGCCAACAAGTGCAGTATTATTAACCATGCGCCCGTCACTAATCTCAGCGCAGAATCGGGTGGTCCAGAAATCGACAAGCATTTAAGTGCCAGGCGGCTGCGCACCCTTGCCTCTGTACTCTGGCCCCACAAAGACTCGAGCGAGACAAAAACCAATCATACAAGGCGAGCGCCGGGGAGACGCCGGAGCAAGACGAAGCCGGCGGCCATGGGGACTCGGACCTCGGAGGCGGAGAAGGAGATGAGGGAGTGGTGCGTTGCGCTCCCCAAGGTGGAGCTCCACGCCCACCTCAACGGCTCCGTCCGCAACTCCACCCTCCTGTCAGTACCCCTCCCTTTCCCCTCCCCTCCCCAACCCAACCCCAACCCCAACCCCAGTCCCCAGTTCCTCTGGCCTTCCATTCGGTTGCCATGGTCTGCTTATCCGAGGCTAGAGCAGTGCAATTGGAGTAGCAGTGATTTTGGTTCAATTCTTCCGCATCCTCGGTGGCAACAGCGCCTGCTCCCTCTCTCCCAGATTGTTTTGCTCACCTGAGATTTATAGCATCTACTACTAGTACCAATTTCACAACCATGATGATTTCAAGGCGCAATAACGCCATTGTCTTCAACATGTACTTCTTTTTTTACGAATGCGCACCAAAGTGCGCATCATTTTCCAAAGGGAGTAGTATAAAACATCTGTAATTTTGTTCGTGCCATTCATTTGTCAGTATTTTGTTTTGTTGTCTTGTAACAATACTACCTTGACTCCCCGCAAAAAAAAAAAAAAAAAACTACCTTTGACATGTTAGAATATCTATCGAGATGGAAAACTGGATTGTCTCCATTGGAGTTAATATTTCTATTTTTAGAAATTGATATCCTTTTGTTGCCATTTCTTGAATAGAGAACTCGCAAAAGAACTAGGTGACAAAGGAGTGATCGTGTTTGAAGATGTTAAGGATGTAATCATGAAGAGTAAGTGGATCATTTTTGTGTCATTTTCTAGTGCTGTTACCTACCTATTAGTCATAAGAGCATACTATGAACCTAATATCCATATATTTGAAATTTGTACTTATGTTTCTCTGTTGAGATATTTGTAAGGTTTGAATTCCATGTCTGCTTATTGACTCTGGTTTTAAATTTTCAACAGATGACAGATCTCTCCCAGAGTGTTTTAGGCTCTTTGATTTATTTCATATACTCACGACTGACCATGATACAGTGACAAGGATCGCCAAGGAGGCATGTTAATCATTATTTGCGTTATTTCACATTGTTCTACACAACATTTCTTTAGTTAATTGTTCAGACAAAACCAACAGGTTGTGGGGGATTTTGCTGCTGAGAATGTTGTGTATTTGGAAATAAGGACGACACCTAAGGTACTACCTTTTGAATTTCTTTTCATATTAGTTCACAATTTTACAGGTCCGTGCGCAACGTGATTAGTTTTTTTTGTTTGTCTCTTTTGCTCTCGCTGATTAGAATAATGAAGCCAAGGGGATGACCAAGCGATCCTACATGAATGCTGTTGTTAAAGGTCTTAAGTCTGTTGAAGATGTTGATGTTGTTCTATTTGATTCTAACTTAAGAAACGATGAAAAATTAAGTTCTACACCTATGACTGATTTGGGTGGCGACAGAAAGAGAAAAAGGATATATGTTAGGCTCCTTCTGAGTATTGACCGTCGTGAGACAACTTCTGCTGCATTGGACACTGTATGTTGATCTTCCACTTAGCCTATACTCTGAACAAATCTTGGAACATATTGAATAATTTACTTCCTTACGTCAGGTTAATTTAGCCATGGAAATGAAGGACCAGGGTGTAATTGGCATTGATCTCTCTGGCAATCCAGTTGTAGGGGAATGGTAAGAAATGTATTACATCTGGCTTGAACTAAATGAAAATATGTTAACTATTTATGTGCTAATACTCCATGGTGCTTTCAACATCTGTGAAGGGAGACATACTTGCCTGCTCTAGAACATGCTAAAGAACTGGGAATCCCCACGACAATTCACTGTGGCGAGGTATGGAAACACATCCAGATAAGTTCCAAACACATTGTTTCCTTATTATCTTTATTTTCTCAAAGCACCATTTGCTAGTCATATATTATTTTTGACCGATGAAATCTAGAGCTTAATGGATAACAGGTACCAAACAGGAAGGAGATCCAAGCAATGTTGGACTTCTGCCCTCAAAGGTTGGGTCATGTCTGCTGCCTCGACGACGAAGAGTGGAAAAAGCTCAAGTCATCGATGATCCCGGTGACCTTATTTTTATTCCCCGCCTTTCACTGCTTGTAGCTATTCTATGTCACCCATGCTTACTTAACTTCCAAGACCTGCAGGTGGAGATATGTTTAACCTCCAATGTTATGACCGGAGGCGCCCCATCTCTGGAGCTTCATCACTTTGGTCTGTATCTGACAAAATCCTTGACAAATGAAAACTAACCCCAGCAAGCATCTTAACGCTCTGAATCTCTGAACTTGTGCAGCTGACCTCTACAACGCGAAACACCCTCTGTCGATATGCACCGACGATTCTGGCCTCTTTTCGACGAGCCTCTCAAATGAGTATTACCTGGTCGCGTCTACCTTTGGTACGCCCATTTCTCTTAGAAACAGTACCTGTAAAATCAATCAGAGTTATTCCTCATTAATCCCAACATATACTTGTTTACTGACTCTGAGCTTTGAATCCGGTCCACGACTTGTCAGGTCTTAGCAAGACCGAGCTGTTTCGGCTAGCCCAGGGCGCTGTGGAGCTCGTGTTCGCCGACGATGAGGTGAAGAAGTCACTGAGGGCGGTGTTTGAGCTTGCGGCGGCGGAGACGCTCACAAGCTAGGCCTCCTCCGTCGGCCTTGCTGTCCAGTGTATTAGTAATTTAGTGCCTTGCTCTCCAGTGTATTAGTAATTTAGTGGTATGTGACTATGTGTTTCCGGAGTAGATCAGGACGAGATGAATAGAATAGAAATCTCATGTACGGTGTGCGCCCGTGCCACCGTGATTCAGTTACCTGGACATGACGGGGATTCAGTATTTCTTTTTCCCTGAACCAGAACAGTTGTTCGGTTTGGTTCTTGACAACGGAAGCACACGGGGTCCACATCGATCGCGTGCATTCGAATACACAATTTCACAGTACACAGCAGCGGCATAGGGACGAACAGTCGGTGGAGTGCCAATCTGGGAGGTATACAGATGCTCTCAACACATTTCATGGAACCCATTGTTATAGACCTGGTACTGGTTGCTAGGCTGTATATCCTGTTACTCCGAATGCTAATTTGATAACATTTGCAACGCAGGGTAATATATTGCCGCGTGTCTTTCTTGGTTCTTGATGCTGATTCTAGTAAAAATAATAATCTTTTTTTTGCAGGGGAGTAAAACTAAAAATCAAAAGGGAGGATAAAGTGATAAACCCCTAGCCAACGTTGACATGTTTGACATGTCTATTATTAATTGATGTACAACCATTTTTATTAATCGCGTAAATACTCACATGGTTGACATGTCTATTATGGTCGGGCCTGACCAACGTTGAGTGAATTGCAAATGCCATTGACATTGAAGGCTGGGTTTGCAGGAAACACACTTTTATAGGTTTGTACCAAAAATCACTAATTTGACTCCTAATTTTTTGCAGAAACCACTAGTCATCTGCTTCGCTCATTTAATAACATTTATGACAGGCAGGACCCAGTGGAAAGGATGGCGTGGCACGATATAATGATAGACAGAATAAAATAGATTAAATTATAGAAGAGCCTAAGAGGATAAGGTTATCTTTTCTGTAAAAAAAATGATAACGCCTACATGTGTGCCATTTTTGCACTTCGTCCACACGTCTTAATTTTCGTCTGTTCTGGTTTGCATGAATCTTGACGATTTCTGACAAAATTGGAGTGCCACGTAGGGGCAGTGCGCTGTGTGGGGGTTAGAGCGCTCGCCCACACGACCTGCAGCGCGCGTTTGCCAGCTGCGTCGTGTGGGTGAACCAGTCCTCACCCACACTGACACCATCCAGTCCACGCCGTGTGGGCGAACTGCTCTTCGCCCACACGACGCTCGTACGGTGATAGATGACAACTGCAGTTGTGCATATGTGGCAACTAGTTAATCACACATGGCAACTATGGTTGACCATACATGACAACTATGGTTAGACCACATGTAGCAAGTAGCTAATCACACATGGCTACTATGGTTGACCATACATGACAACTATGGGGTTGACCACACGTGGCAACTACCGTTAATTAGACATGGCAATTATAAGTTAACCAAAACAGAGAAGTTGCCATGTTTTACAACTAAAGTTGCCATCCCCCGGATAACTAAAGTTGTCATCAAATAATGGCAGGGTAGAATTTGCTTCGTGCCACACGTGCGGGATGGGGATGAGTAGTTGTTGTTGGGCGTGTGGCACGAAGTAGCTGCGCCAGAACGTGTGAGCAGTTCTAATATTCACCCACATAGGACCCGTGTGGGTTGCCTCCTAGGTATGCCACACATGGTGTGTGGTCGGGTGTACATTATGCCACACATGTGGCGGTTATCAAGGTCAAAAAAAAAGAGGATAAGGTTGTAACATAGGGTCAGGAGCAGCAGCGAGCTTCGGAGCTGGTGCGCTCGAGCTCGCAGGCGTGCGGGCTGAGGCCATCAGGCCACGAGCAACAGCTCCACCATCCCTCCCCTTCCTCCCTCCCCTTTCTTTTTCCTTAGCGTCTCACTGCTTACCCTTGCACCTTGCTACCGTGCAGCTCGGCGACCCTCGACAGTGAGCTCCTCCGCCGTTGGTTCCCTCCCCTATCTCTCCCATCTCTCTTTGATATGTGTTGTCGTCGTCGTTCTCCTAGAGGAACAACACCATTGATACTCAACCGTCGTCGCCAGAGCTCTGTTGCCCTGCCGTCCTAACTGACACTACCGTCGGATCCAAGGCGTCCTGCCCGTCCTCGACCACGCCGAACCTCCCTTGTGCCCCGCCGCGCACGGGGAGGGAGTGGCCGCTGGCGTCCACCACCGGACCGGTGGGAGATTAAGGTCACGGAGGATCCGACTACTTTTTTTAGGGGTCATTTTGCAAAACAAAATTGTATCGGGGTGTAATTGGCCTTTTCTTACCAAGTCACCCTGTCCAGTGGACCCACCTGTCACAATCATGTTCAAAACGATCTAAGCCGCTGACTAGTGTTTCTTGCAAAAACTTAGACGCAAAATTAGTCGTTTTTAGCACAAACCTATAGAAGTGTGTTTCCTGCAAACCTGGACTTCAATGTCGATGGCTTTTGCAAGCTAAGTTTTTCCCCTACGCCACGCGCCTAGGGTTTCTTTCCTCTCGGGCGATCTGCCGCCCCTGAGTACTTCCACCCTTCGCAAGGCCTGATCGACGCCTTCGTCGATCATGCAGTGCCCCAACCATGCTAGGATGGCTGTAACGACGCCCCGGATCTGATGCGCCAGGTGTCTGCCAGTTATTCGCCATCCTTGCCATGTCATGTGCTTGCGTGTTGCTTTTTGCCATGTCATTATCTGCATTTCATCTGCATGCTTTTCAAAACTTGCATCCGTTCGGGTCCCGCCGGTTCTCTCGTTGTCCGTTCTGAGCCCAGCCACACTCGCACGCACCCGCGGCACCTCCGAAATATTATTTTATAAGTGGCATAAAATGTTCTCGGAATGGGATGAAAGCTGGCGTGCGGCGTTGTTGTGTTGTAGGTAGACCGCCTGCCAAATTTCATCGCATTCGGAGACCGTTTGACTGCCCAACCGTTAAACATATAGTGGTACCGCTGCCGGTACCTTCGTCGGACGTTTCGGTCTCCGAAACTGCCGCCGGGCTGCAATTTCTCTTCTCTCCTCTCAGCCCAACTCCTCTTCACAGCCCACCTAAACTCCCCTCCGACCAGAACCATCGGATCTGGATCGGAGGCTCCGAAATGCTCCAGAACCCCCAACCCTAACCCCTTTTTGCTATATATAGACTCCCTCCTTTCCATTTCAGGCTAAAACCTACCCCCTAATCTCTCCCCTCCTCAATTTCAGCGCCTCCTCCCACTCGGGCGTCGCGCCGCCACCTCCCCCCTCCAAATCCGCCGCCGGCCACCTCACAGGCGCCCTTGGCGCTCAGCCATTAGCCTTCAGCCGTCGCGTCGCCATTTTCCTCCACTCAGGAGGCGCCACGCATCCCTGCATCCTCTCTCCACCCGCGCGGCCCTCCTAGGCCCATCCAGGGCCCGCCTGGGCCCGAAGCCGCACCGCCGCAGCCTGCGAGGGCCCGAGCGCCCCCGCGCCTCCCGCTCCCATTCTGGATCGAGGGGAGGATCCCTCGACCACGAGCCCTCGTCGCCGCTGCCAGCCTCCACCGCCGCCAGTGCCCTCCGCCACTCCCTGGCCAGACCCCGCGCCCCATCTTCTC